AGCGTTGGAAAACATGTTGTTGCTTGGTTGATCATAGCCTTGATAACCCCAAGCATCTTCGTTCACAGTGAATTGAGGATGTTGATATCCTTGCCCATAGGGCACATCAATGTAGGGACACTTGGCATTGTGGTCCGTTCGGCATTATGAGTCAATTGAGCAGTGAGCTGTGCCAATTGAGCTTGAATGGTCGCAAGTGCCATGTCTTGCTCCATTTGTACCTAAAATCAAAGAAAGAAAAATAACTCAAATATCAAAAGTAACACAAAACAAGGAAAACAAAACTAAGTCAGAAACTAAAACAAAAACAAACTAAACAAAAAGAAAAGAACCAAGGGATTAGCAAAGTTGCTAATCCCCGGCAACGGCGCCAAAAATTTGATGCGAATAATATAAGCACACAAATTTAACCCTCTTTTTGACAATTGTAGTATAGATGTAAGTAGGGATCGTTCTAAACCGGGGATTAGGAGGGATTGCTAAATCACTTGAAAACTAATTTAAAAACATAAAAACAAAGTTAAAAATGTAAACAAAAGATTTTAAAACAAGAAAGTAAAAGGGGGATTTGAGTTTGGTGAAGTTGAAAGTAAAAACGAATAAACTAAAAACTTAAATAGATTTTAAACAAATTTGGGTTGAATGGATAATGGAAGGCTAGCTAAGGGGTTCTTCTCCACACATGTCTTGCTTGCATACAAAATGATTTCCAATTGCATTTCAATAACTTATTAATTCTCAACGCCCCAAATTAACCGTGAATTGCACTAATTTACCCTCAGTTTTTCCACAAGTTATTGGGTTGGATGATTGCATACGACAACCCAAAATATTCCCTACAAGTTCCCTACATGAATTGCATAATAGAGATACAAGCAAGAATCATTAAGTTCTATGAAAAACATAAGCATTGACGAGGCACTCGTTACTATGATTTGCATGAAACTTATGCCAAGGATTTACTTAACACAATCGTGACTAGCGACTTTTACTACTCATGAATATAAGTTCATAACGATTAGGTGAAATTCCCTTATACTCTAGCATCATATTTATGCATGCAAACTAAGTATGCATCCCTAATCAACATACATAAACATGTTATCAATCAAATAGATAAGTAAATCGAATTCATAACTTATGAAACGCAATTAAAAGTAATCAAATCATATTGCAAGCATTAACATGGTTTCGAATCCCCCCTAGCCAAGGGGGGTTTAGTTCCTCATTATTACAAAACAAAGATAAACAAATTTAAACATTGAAAAACAAAGGAAAGAAAGCACCTAAACGTTCCAACGATCCATGTTGGATAGCAAGTGCGTCTAAGGACTTTTCTCCTTCTCTTTGCCGCAACAACAAGGTTGGAATGATGTTGAAGGGTTGGTTATTTGGAGGAATGGATGGGAAGGGGTTTAGATATGTAGGAGAGGCAAGGAAAGGCTTGGAGAATGGTTAATTTCTGGATGATTTGAATGAGGTTGATGCCATGGTATTTATAGGAAGAGGATGGACTTGTTTAACACAAAATGTTGGTGGAATTGAGTAGGTGAGCATGGCAAAGAGTGGGAATTGTTGGTGGGTTAGGTATTGAGTCATCCACTCACATGTCATGGTTAGCTAAGCATTGCATCATCCACTCACATGTCATGGTGAGCTAAGCATTGCATCATCCACTCACATGTCATGGTGAGTTAAGCATTGCATCATTACTCAAATTTCTGGTGGAGGTGGAAGTAAAAGCCACGGCATTGATGTGTTTTGAGTGAAGTTTTGGCCAATCCTTCTAGAAATTTATCCCTTATTGCAACTTGTATTTGTTTCACCAGATTTTTAGCATGTTCTTAGCCTCTTTTGTCTTCAAATTCGTCCATCCATCTTGCTCATATCATATGTAATCCATTCCGAGCTCAAAACTGCTCCAAAATGCACCAAAATGCACTTTCTTGCTACCTTAGCCCTTTGGACCTACAAACACACGAAAATGGCTTAAAGTACTAAAATAACTAAGAACTAATAACGTAAATGCAAGAAAACTAGTTAACTAAGTCGCATAAATATGCGTCTATCAACTCTCAATCATAGAAATTGGAAAATGACACATATTTACATGGAATTTAAACTTGGGAATTGAATGTCCCAAATTCCAAGTTTTTTTTCCACATGAAAATTCTAAATTTCTATGTTTATGAATCCAAACAAGGGAATTGGTGTATGTCAATTTATAAATTCCGACTTTTCCTTAAATTTCAAGTTTATTTCTATCATCCAAACATAGTGTAACTATCTTTACTGGATATTATACAGGTTATATCCGTCTTTACACAATACTCACTATATTCATCCGGTTTCTCTGCTGGATTGTAAAGACAATACTCGCTATATTCATCCGGTTTCTCTGCTGGATTGCATGGATGAAGAGTATGACGTCATAGTTCTGGAGACAGGTCTGAAGGAATACATTTCTGAATGGCCTTTCTCCGTAGATGGTGTCAAAGTAACTCTAACTCCATATTCTTTTTCATTCCTTGCACTTCTTTTCTCTTATTTTATATTAAAGTATAGTTTTACTTTTTCCTAGGTGATTATCTGGGATTTTTAATTTATTGTTAATTGGCACTTTAAGTGCTCAGCTCTAGCTCTATTGAATTATTCCAAATTTGAAAATTTCTCAATTCTAGCGTTATGAGTGTAAATTGGATACTTTAGGACAGGTTATGGAATAGTATTTTTTTGAGTTTCGTCTGTAAAATAGGAGCAACCATATTTTGAACAACTTTTTATTCCGATGCAAATTGGGCTTGTACTGACATTCGTCAATCGACATCTAGCTATCTTTTATTTCTAGGTTTGAATCTCATATCATGGAGTTCTACAAAACGTCCTACTGTTTCTTACTGTAGTGCGGAGTCTAAGTATCGTGCTCTTGCTCACACCTGTATCGAATCTCTTTGGGTGTCTTACTTACTTCATGAACTTCGGTTTCAGGCCTCTTTGCCCACCTATCTCTTTTGTGATAACCTTAGTACTAGGTATATTGCAGCCAACCGACTGTTTCATGCTCGCACAAAGCATATTGAGTTAGATTATCATTTTGTTAGTGAACATGTTAAGCTTGGTACCCACAAAGTTCATTTCATCCAGTCCTTGGATCAACCTGCAAATCTCTTGACAAAAGGTCTATCTAAACCATGGATTCTTCTTCTATGATCCAAACTTGTCGCCTCTCGACCGTCCAGTTTGCCGGGATGTTAGAGAATGAGTCTTGTCCAAGGAAATCGTCTCTCTTAAGGTTTAGCAATTAATATTGTAATCTAGTTATGATTGTATTCATAATTTGAAGAGATCCTTACTTATACACCAAGTAAACACTATTGTATGTATAGGCCTTTTTACTATGAACGTAATTATCAAGTTTATAATTTCTATAAATTTAACATGTTGTAGGTCACCGGAATACAGAGGGCTTAACACAATTATAGAAAAAATTATCACAGAAAGACAGTTGAAAAAGAAAAGGATAAGAAAATTTTGATGCCTAACATGATAAGGAAAGGTCCTCACAAATTTCTTATGAAATAACGATGTTAAACAATTAGAAAAATAATTAAAGCAAACCCATCTTTAAAGGGCGCGTAAGGATTGTGATTAGAAAATACTTTTTGTTTACACGTGAGTGATTGCGAAGAGGCTAATGTATGGATAAAATCCAAATCGAATCGGATCTTGTCAATTTTCGGGTCGACGATGTGTGACATGTGTCCCATTATGCAAGCACCAGGCACCGGCAATAGAAGCTTGGGGCTTCCAGCCCAGCGGAAGAAGAAACCGTTGCTTTTCCGCCGTTAATTCAAAAGTGCCTCGCAGAGTCTTCCGAAACATGGACATGGATATCGACGAAACAGCCAAAGGTACGACCTTTCTCCAAAACGCCGCGTTTTACCATTCTCAGTCGTCGTCTCCTTCGGTGATCATAAAACCTGGACGCCCTTTTGACGGTGGAAGAAAAACAAGGAAAGCCTGTCGTAGTAATATTGGTGGGTGCGCCTGGAAGCGGCAAGTCTACCTTCAGTGAACATGTGATGCGCTCCACTCGCCCTTTGGTTCGCGTTTGTCAGGTATATCTCTGTGCACACAGTGTTTTCGATGAAATGTCGCAGTGGGCTCAAGATTGCTATTTTCAGTACGTAGTATGGTACTCCGGATTTCTATTCATTTGGGTTCTTGTTTTATGCTGTTACAGGTTCATATTTTTTGTTTTTGATTTGATTGACTCTAATTCACTTTGAAGTAGTCTAGGCATATATGCAATCTACATGTTACTCCTATTTTAGTTTTTGACTAACGAAGGCCATATATAGTCGATCATATATACATACCGTTATAGGTGGAAGAAAAACAGAATGGTTTGTGTATACTCATGTTGATTTTCTGGGTAGCAAGAGAAATATATTCTCCGAAAAACTCATGTATTGTATGTAACTATGGTATCGTGGAATTGTGACTGTCGTAGTCTGCTCTGTGGAGAATTGATGGGGTAACTGAACATGCCCAATTCAAATCATATTAAGTGTTAATTCTCTCTTTCAGTAGTTAAGTGTTAATATGGAAGACCTAATCATCGCGATCGATACTTCGCATTTGCCAACTTAAAGTCTTAAATGATAGAAGTTTTTGTCCTATAGTTGAAGTTGAGGTTCATCCTAAAATCAGTTGAAATTGGGCGAGTGACTCAACTCTTGTAAAAGCAGATGAGTATTTCATTGTGCTCTGACATGAAAGGGAGAATACCGATTGAACCGTCGTTTGCTGATTTTGTAAAAGCGGTTGAGTTTTTCATTTCTTCTTGTTACCTGAGAGGGTTGGCTTTTGCCTTTTGGTGCGATCTCAGACATAAAAGTTGGTGAGGAAATTCTAAAACAAAAAGCACTGGTTTGCTCTCTTATAAATTGAGGTGAAAAATAAACTGGATATGATGAGTTTAAAATTGAATTGCAAGATGTTAAAACATATCGCAATTTAGAAGTCAAGATATTCTTTGTAGTACACTCTTTTGGGTGGAGTTGGTCTCGACATCGTACTACACAATTCGAACAAATAATACATTACATGTGGTACACTCTTTTGGGTATATCAATTTACACTAACTTCAAGAACCTCGACGGTACGAGGAAGTTTATTGAAAACAAGGCATAAAGATACACAATAAACTATTACAAATATAACTATAACATACACAAATTTAAAAGGTAAAACCAAAAAGCAAACCTCTTATTTGTTGGATCTCAAATTCCCCAGGCATAGCTTGAGGTCCAGCTCCATTGGTCCCCATGATCATTAACTTCAGCGTCTGAACCTCTGATTTATGTGGACATGTCTTCGGTGAGGACCAATTCTATCTTCAAGCTGAGGGAATATCTTAACAAGGATTTTATACATTGTTTTGTAATACCATTTACTCCATCTCTTGCACAACACAAGTGACCCGACCGCAACTCCAAAGCCAACAATAAATCCAACTTCAACACTGATAAGATCCCAATCAATTCTGTGCGCAGAATTAGAATGTTTGCCTTCTAATGTTGGTGGCAACCTTGGTGATCCGTCATCTAACGGTGGCCCATATAATCCTTTATTGCCTGCGAAAGAATCTGCTGAAAAAGACTGAATCTGAGTGCCGGTTGGAATCTTCCCGACAAGTTGATTGCTCGACAGATTTAGGAATGAGAGGAAATTAAGTTTGGAAAGTTGTGATGGAATTGTTCCGCTCAATTTGTTGTCCGAAAGGTCTAAGGACTCAAGCTGTCGTAGATTACCTAATGATGATGGGATTGCGCCTGTGAGAGCATTACTGGACAAGTTTAGGCCATGAAGTGATGTGAGCTTTCCCACTTCCTCAGGTATTGATCCATTAAAATTGTTGCAGGAGATGTCAATTGAGGTGAAGACTGTTAAGATCCTTGCCAATTCCATCTCTTGACCTTTGGTGGTAACTGTTACGGTATCCTGATAGTACACCTGGCCGTTGACTAAAACTTGAAATTGGAGGTGATTAATCTTTGACACGGCACCATCTTTGTCAGCCATCATTGCTTGCCACGTTTTCAAAAAACTTCCTGGTATTTCGCCAGTAAAATTGTTGCGAGCTAAGTCAATAATTTGAAGCTTTGGCCAGTCTCTTTTAGTCTTGAGGCATTCAATGCTATCATAAAATTTGTTGAAACGCAAGACAAGTACACGCAAGCTGGATATGTTCTGCAATGAGCATGGAAAGACATCTGTTATCTGATTGTTTCCCAGGTTTAACACCTCTAACATTGTGCAGTTGGTTAGAGATTTTGGGAACTGACCACCAATCACATTGCCATTGAGGTCTAGAGTTTGTAGACTACAGTTCTCAGGAAAATTATCAGGAAGAGTGCCAGAAAGTTTGTTTCTCCTTAAATCAAGTACTGCAAGAGGCCCGTTCCTTGCAGTCAAGCACTGGGGAATCATGCCACTTAAGGAATTATTGGACAGATCAAGAACCTCAAGAGATGTCGCCTTGCATACTGATTCTGGAATGATCCCGTGGATGTGATTACTTGCAAGAGAGAAGAACACAGTGCTCACAAGGAAATCACCAATTTCTGCCGGTATGCTTGAGCTGAAATTATTTCTTGAGTAATCCAGATAACCGGCATATGGTGGAAGCATTGGAATTGGTCCCTGAAGCTGGTTGGAATGAAGGTCAAGCACAGAGAAAGAAAGATTGAGGAAAGGACCTGGTAGATTTACCAGAGAGTTGCAAGAAAGATTTAGTTCACCAAGAGTACTAAGCCTCCAAATCCAGTTGGGTATTTCATGGATCTGGTTTAGGGATAGGTCCAAAACCTCTAATATTGATTGATTTCTCAAGAAATCAGGAAAGGTTCTCAACTTTCCAGCAGCTAATTTCAATGTGCGAAGTTGAGGACAGGAGTAGGAGGAATTGGAACTGTAATGATTAATTAGCAAGCTATTGTATGAAAGATAAAGTTCTTGGAGATTTTTCAGTTGTTGAATATCATTAAGCAGAAAGGACCCACTGAAGTTGTTTGAAGAAAGTGAGAGAAAATGAAGCTGTCGTAGATTAAAGATGGACATGGGTATAGGCCCTTCCAAACTATTGCTACTCAAATCAAGGACTTGTAGGGAAGAAAAATTACCAAATTCAGGTAACTGGCCAGAGAAGTGATTGTAAGAAAGGTATAAATGTTGCAGCATGGGAAGAGAAAACAGAGATGACGGAATAGTCCCATCAAGTAGATTGTTAGAAAGGTCTAAATGTTGCAGCATGGGAAGAGAAAACAGAGATGACGGAATAGTCCCATCAAGTAGATTGTTATAAAGATATATCGAGGTTAGATTCTTTGCCATACTGAAGGATGGAACTGAACCATTGAACTCATTCCCTTGCAAGTCAAAATTAACCAATTGATGAAGGTGTTCTGTTGACCTTGGGATTGATCCAATGAAATTGCACCACGAAATATCTATGTTGGACAACATTTTGAGGTTGCCAATAGAGTTCGGTAGAAACCCTGAAAAGTTAGCCCTCCTTAGAACCAAGGACCGAAGAGATGCATTCTTTGGAAATTCTGGTAAGGAACCCTGAAGCTGTGGATTCGAAGATAAGTCAATAGTCTGTAGTGTAGGTACCTGGAAGATCTTCTCTGGGAATGTACCATATAAGCCAGAATCGCTTAGGTGCAAGGAAGTCAAATTTGGGAACTTTGAGAAGAACTCAGGAACTTGAATAGAGAAATCATTGTAATCTAAACGAATAACCGAGAGCGATTGAAGCTTCAGTAATGAACTATCAATAGGGCCTGAAAGAGAACAAGCGGACAAGCTCAGCACCCTCAATTTTGGCAGTGAAGATGATATAGCTTGGCACCATTCAGTCCCCTGTGCTGATATATTCACGCCATCAAGATAAAGTTTAACAAGCTCAGAAAAGTTCCGAATGAGCACTTTCAAATTCGGCTTCTCAAGATTCAACTGAATAACGAGGGTAGACAAATCAAGAGTTACCAACCTCGTCAAGTGCGAAATCTCAATCGGAACCTGCTCCGCAAAGCCAGCATTCGACAAGTTCAGATTGGTCAAACCTGTTAGCTGCTTGAACTCGGAAGGAATCTGAGTGTAGTTGAAGTTGTTGTAAGCCAAATTCAGGTTCTCGATCGACTTCAGACCGAAAAGAGGACTGGAATTATCAAGTCCCCCAGTAATCGCCTCGTTGCTCAAGTCCAGATTCGAAACACAACCCTGTTTGCAGGACACTCCTTCCCAAGAGCAGTAGTCCGAGGCATTGTTCCACTTCACAAGTTTTCGAGACGTTGCAGGGTCAAATGTGAGGCTGTCCTTCAATTTTAGCAGCAAAGATTGCTGATCGCCGGGACATTGGGTAGAGACCACAAACGTATGGAAGGTGAGTGAAACATAGCAAATGCGGAGTAAGAAAAGCCATGAAAGCAGAGGAGTTTTCATCGGAGGTTGTTGCTGATGTGTGACACAAATGTAAGGAAGGAACAGCTTAGGCAGGTCCCTAGTTATTCTTCTTTGTAATTATAGAATGTGTAATGGCGTGTGAGCCAAAGACCAATTTGGTCTTAGTCAGTGTCGGCTGTGGGGGTCCCATTTTATTGAACTGTGATTTGTTGTGATGTGGTTGTAATTTGAACTTTAGTTCCGCACAACCAATTGCACAACATCTACATGTATAACCATTTCATCTCCCATTTTCCCTTATCTCAAGTACAAAATAGTGAAAACTACAAACAAAAAAATAAAATAATTTCCAAGCTCAAGTAGGCTGTTTAATAATTATTTCGTTTTTATTTTCCGTTTATCATTTTTTAAAGAAAATTTAAAACTTATTTAGAAAATACTTTTAATTTTAAAAAATAAAAAAATAATAATTATCAGACGGATTCTAAATAACCGAAGCGACTCAAACGGATTGACGTGTGTATGTATGGCTCTTAGAGACGCTAAGAAAAACGTGGTGATGATTTCTACCAAATCTATGGTTTGCCTGACTTGTTAACTTCAAAGTCTTTCCCCATATTCCTTGTGGGGCTTAAATTGTGGGTTGTTTTTTCAATAGCGAAATATTATTGCTTAAGAGTAATTGTAGTACTACTTTAGGCAATGTGGCAAGTGGAAATTTGTCGCATGAAAGATACTAATTAATATACTTGGATTTATATATGACACTGTAGAATTGTTAGATTAGGAAAAAAATTTGAAATGTTATAGGAATTTTTACACTTTTTTTTTAATTTATCATATGAATTAATATTTAAGCGATTTCTCATACCAATTCTATTAAGTTTTCTATCTAAAATAAATCACGTACTTTGCAATGACTTGTTTTCATTAGTGGAGCCAACAAAGGTGCATTGAGATCCTTTGACCCCAATAAATTTGGAAATATACTCTTATGGGTTTTTTGTTTTTGAACAAATGATATTATTAATATTAAAGAAAAATTGTGAATTTAATATTATAATGAACTAGTAATAATGTGGTTCAAATGAAAAGGAATGTTAGTAATAATGTGGTTCAAATGAAAGGGAATGTTCACAGCAAACAGAAAACAGACTAAAAAAAAAGAAAGGTAAAATGCCTTTGCCTTTCGGTGCCTAAAAAACAGAGACGAATGAAAGGCATTTTGATGCCTTTTGTGGTTATTAAATGCAAAGGGCAGATATGAGGGCGACACTGGTTGAAATGTCTGAAATATTACTCCTGAACATAAGTTATGGGTGCCTTGCATATGAGTTATTTTGAAGGAAACATAACGAAGTTAGAGTTAGATGAGAAATTAATGATTCAGAAAGTTGGTATAATAAATCGCTTGAAATTTTAGTTCATATATAACAAATTGAAGAAGGTTTATAAGTTCATATAACATTTCAAAAAATTTCTCTTGGCTTTACGGGTTGACGTTGATTTTGAAGTCTTGGTTGTCTCAATTCATGATTTCTGATAAAGTTTAATTGATTTCTAGAAATTTGTATAAGACAACATAGCGTTCAAGTCTGATTGTGTTGCTTTCCTATCTTCATTTTCCAGTGGCTATGGACTCACTAAGGCAATACAAACAGAAATTACTATCTAAACTCAGCTGAAACCATGATGAAGTTGAACTGTGAACGTGTGTTTATGCACTTTGTTTATCGGAATGTGTAAAACAATTGTCCTATATTTTATAAAGTTCTTCATAGTCCAAATTATAGTTCTCACGCGTCAATTGACCAAAAAAAATAAAATCAAAAATCAAAAATCAAAATGTAAGCTATGCATATACCAAAAGTACTATGACCACTCATCATCAATAATTCAATGACTATTACTATTCAGAATATGCAAAACACACTTCAAACCTTGCCACATAGAAGATCGTAAATAGATATTTTGGTTTTTAAAGGGCAAAAGAGGAAAACACTGACGAGCAAAAAAATAATTATCAAACGAATTTCAACACAAAAAAAAAACGAAACGACTTTCAAGTTCCAAAATGTTGTTTAATAATCAATTCGTTTTTATTTTTTTCAAAAATAAAATTTTATTTACTAACTATTTTCAGTTTAAAAATAAAAGGAAGGTTATCAAACGACTCTTGAATAACTTAGGCAAGCCATACTAAGGAAAACGTGGTGATGATAATGTATGTATAGGTATAGCGGGTGTAATTTTATGGTTTGCTTGACTTGTTGACTTCAAAGTATAAGTTGTTTTATCCAATGTTGACAGACTATTGGGTGGAAAGAGAGAAACTTCACGAAACAGTGAACTCCACGTTCAGATACATGCGTTATACTCCTAGTTTCATATAAAAATTTGTTTGAAAATATTTTTAAAATGATTAAATACATTTTTAGAGAAAATATTTTAGAACTAATCTCTAGTAAAAATAAAAGTGAATATTGAAAAATCACTTGAAGTGATGCTTCCTCCACAAAACACTTCAATTGTTGTTGAGACCCTAAAACATTTTTTTCTAAAAACGTTTTCAATAATTTTAAAAGTACTTCAAAACAAGGCCTAAGTCTCTCTTTTACAAGACTACAAGGGGGTAATTAAGGAAATCATGTTTAATTTTTTGGTCAAAAGCGGCATTCTATGAGTGCATTCTACAAAAAGCACTTGAAGTGATGTTACTAACCGGATAAATTGAACAAATAATTTAGATTAGCTTCCATAGAAACACACTTGAATGAGTTAGTGCCTAACTACAACTACACTAAACATTGGTGTAAATCTTGTTGCACCACGGAAGGAAATAAATTAATAAAATAATCTGACAAAAACTAATTTTGTGCTTCAATAACTTTTGAAACTCAAGGAAGAACTTTAGATGGAATGATTGAAGATAAAGAATAGCTAATAATAGGCTCATCCGATCATTTGTTGAGTTAAAAGAAAACTGACCTCCCATCACTAATAATTCAACAATTATTATTATTCAGAATAGGTAAAACACGCTTCAAACCATGCCACACAGAATACCGTAAATAGATATTTTGGTTTTTTGTAAGATGAAAGAGAAAAATGATGACGAGCAAAAGAAATGATTATCAACAAATTTCAACACACAAAAAAAAAACAAACAAACAAACAAAACGACTTTCAAGCTCCAAAAAGCCGTTTATTAATCATTCTATTTTCATTTTTCATTTTTTATTTTTTTCAAAAATTGAAAATTCGTTTGGTAACTTAAGCGAGCCATACTACAGAAAACGTGGTGATGGTAATGTATGTATAGGGGGGGTATAATTTTGTGGTTTGTTTGACTTGTTGACTTCAAAGTCTTTCCCCATATCCCTTGTGGGGTTTAAACTGTAGGTTGTTTTATTCAATGTTGACAGACTGTTGAGTGGAAAAGAGAGGGTAAAATTTCACCCCAACAGAGGGGCTAAAACTTCACGAAACAGTGTATACCCCACGTTCAGATATGTGTTATACTCCTAGATTCAAATAAGAGCTAGTTTGAAACTGTTTTTAAAACGATTAAAAGCATTTTTAGAAGAAAAAAAAATGTTTTTAGAACTAATCTTTAGTAAAAATAAAAGTGAATCTTGGAAAATCACTTGAAGTAATGCTTCTTCTACAAAGCACTTCAAGTATTTTTAGGACCCAATAACATTCTCTAAAAGTGCTTTCAATAATTTTAAAAGCACTTCCAAACAAAATCTATGTCTCTCTTTTACAAGGCTACAAATGGGGTAATTAAGAAATCATGTTTAATTTTTTTGGTTGGAAGCGGCATTCTACAAAAGCGCTTAAAGTGATGTTACTAACTGGATAAATTGAACAAATACTTTAGATTAGCTTCCAATATAATATATATATATATATATTTCAGTTTTATATATTCCAAAAAAAATTATATATGCACAACTTAATTAAGTACAAATAATAATTACTATCAAGCGGATTCTAAATAACTGAAGTGACTCAAATGGATTGACGTGTGTATGTACGGCTCTTAGAGACGCTAAGAAAAACGTACCAATTTTGAGGTTTGCTTGACTTGTTGACTTCATAGTCTTTCCCCATATTCCTTGTGGGGTTTAAATTGTGGGTTGTTTTTTCAATGTTGACAAGAGAGGGGCTAAAACTTCACGCAAGGGAGTGTGTTCCCCACGTTCAAACTCATGCATTATCTTCTCGATTTTAATTAATAACTTGTTTGAAAGTATTTTTAAAATAACTGAAAGTCTTTTAGGTAAAAATATTTTTGGAATTAATCATTTGTAAAAACGTAAGTGAATTTTTGAAAAAGTACTTGAAGTGGTGCTTCTTCGATCCAAAAAGCACTTCAAGTATTTTTGAAACCTAAAAATATTTTCTTTAAAAGCGCTTTCAGTTATTTTAAAAGCACTTTCAAACTATGATTAAGTGTCTTTTACAAGGCTACAGGTGAGGTAATTAATGAAATTGTGTTTAATTCTACAAGTGGATTAAAGCATTTCATGATAACCATTTCATTTTGACTTTTGCTTTCACTTTTTTGTGCTTGATATATGAGAAAAGTATACGGAGAGAGGTATTAACAAATTCAAACATAAAGATCGCAAGTATCTCATGACAATGTCCAGAATTTGGAAGGCGTCCATTCAATGTTGGTGGTGATGACAATTTTGCTTTGTATCCACCGTTAAAAGGTGGACTCCATAATCCTTTGTTTCTTGTAACGGAAGCTATTGGAAATGTGCTGAGTACCCGTTGAGATCCTGCCGACGAGCTGATTATTTGAGAGATTCAAAAAGCAAAAGGAAAGTAAGTTTCGCACACTCTGGTGGAACTTGACATGTCCAAAGATTTAACATGTCGTAGGTCACCGGAATACAAAGGGATTCCCCCACTCAGCTTGTATTGATGCAGTGGCAGCTTTAATGTTGTGGAAAATATCTCCATCAGGCTTTTCGTCGTTTAGTTTGACTAGGAAGTTTTCATCTAGAATAATCAAAGCTATAACAGAGTAAATGTTCATGATATCAAACAAACAGAGCAATACAAACAAAAAAGAAGAAACCGTAAAAGAAAG